ACACCTCGTGAAGGCTGGTGTACTTCTTCTTCCATGTGGGCTTTGTTGCCTCCGAGCTAGATGGCCGCTTGTTTACCTTCAAGCCTTTAAGACCCCAGTCGCTATATCTTTTGATAGCTGAGGCCCCATTAATCTTAACTGTTTTCAATTAGGTATTTTTAGAAGGAGCTTTCTTCAGGATAGCTGTAAGATCTGTTCGGTACATAGTAAAAACACTCTTTACTTCATAAAAGAGATACTGCTTTCTAAAAATTTCATTCAATAAACTCATTTTAATAGTGCAAAAAATTATCTGCTTTCCAGTCACTGAAGGAAAAACTTCCAAATGATTTTGTGACATGACCTAATATTTTGAACAAATAAAACAATGAGGTAAATATTACAAGTACGCATGCCAAATGCAAGAAAGCAGATGATCATTATAAAGCCAAATTGTTTTTGTAGCTGGTCATTCCAGAGTACTCAAACCTCTACTTTTTGCATTTACAGAAAAGAAATATACTAACTACCATAAGAAAGCTAGTGATGTCTTTAAAAGCTTTCCAATGAATTCATGGAAAAAGGGAACACTGAAGTTTAAAAAGACCATGTGATCTTTTGACCTCTATCTCTGAAACCAGCCAAGGATGATAGCATTCATGGAACCCCTAGGAAATTAACCTGATCCCAAAGTATAAAACCAATTAAGCCAAATTAGCTAAACAATAGTTTTAGAGCTTACAATAAAACCAACAAAATCATGATTATTATTTGACTAAAGGCTGTGGGAAAGTTTACATAGCTATATCCTTCACATAAACTATTAGTCACTCAATAATCAAAGGATATGTTTATTTTTGTGTATGAAAAGGGTGTGGTTTCAGGACTTGGTACTAATATTAGCTAATTAATACAATCAGAACTTGACAAAACTGAGGTTTGGGATATAATGTTTGAAATGTAATTACTATAATACAGACATAAAAACAACATCAATATATTTACATATATATATTGAGCCAAAACAAATGCACTTTCTCTAGAAAAGATATACTTAAGAAAACACTAATATACACTATATACTAAAATATGGCAAGGGCCTCAAAAGATGGCAGCCATTCCAATAGCTGAGTGCTACTGCACTCTCTTAATACTATTTCTAGAATGGAGAACAAGGAGGTTGAGTAGTTTATATACAGACAAGTATGTCTCTGGCAGAAGCCAAGCTACCTCAAAGTCATAGTTGTCAATATGGGGAGAAAGCTAGTTTTTGTGAGTAGTATTAACCCCTTTTACTTATAAAAGTTGTTCTTTGTTTTCTTTAGCAGAGAGCACCACATTAGGATATAGGTAGAAGAAATTTCCCTTAGTATCCTACTACTAAAAGCTTTAGTAGAAAGATAAACACATCGACTAATAGCAGTCTTTGTGAGCCTGTCATCATCTGTGACTATAGAGTTTTAGAAACTATACAAAAATTAACTATAGCATTACTAGAAGGAGTTTTCCTAGACTTCAAAAGCTAAACACAAATAGACACTCTAGTATAGCACTATTAAATGCATCCTACTTGGTTATTACACCTGTAGTCAATGGTCTATTGGTAACAATGAGAGTTTTGAAGCAGATCTCGGTAAATTTGCTTGACGACATTCTTCAGGTAGTTGCCCTCTAGTGGCACATTAGATAAAATGGCAGCAATTTCATCTTGGCTGGTAAGAAGAATGAAAGGTTAGTTAATTTTTCTGTTACGTTTCTAATATGATAGGTTTCATTTACTCGGTTATAGTCTTTCAGTTCCCTAGGAGTACAAAAAAATTGCAATGCCTGGAAATAAGGAGACTGTAGTTTACAAGGAGATTCCAAAAGGTAGGCCTAGGAACCAGTTCTGTAACAGTGAAGCTGTTAACCAAGCAGCTTTCTCTGGCTCTAAAATCTAAGCTATTAGTGTTTGCTGACTGAGTTGGGGTGAGCACATTTCAGCTCTGCCATTGTGCAAGCTGTCGGCTCTGTGACTGAAATGACAAAATATATCACAGCGTGGTAGAGATGAGACATTTTGCGGTCTGGTTCCACAAAATGTGAAAAGTATTATGATTGTACTTTTTTTTTTTTTTAACCAATTAGTCTATTTGTAGGACAGAGACTTTAGATCAAATTTAAATATGATCTGGACTAAGCCAATATAGGACTTCCTTTCTTGACTTCTATTTTCAGTAAGAGTATTTTAAAAATGGAGCACCTACTGTAGATAGCAATAAAGGTCACTGGCTTTCAAAGAACAAATGCTTCAAAATGAGGTTAGAGAGACGTGACACATCACTCAGCACTCAGCTTTTACGATGGTCCGTCTACTTGCTGACCATCTTAATGAATCTTCCAAATGAACTAAAAAAGGTGAAAAAGTAGTTGGGAACCCTACCATGCCCTTTACTTACCCAGTGTTGCCAAGGTGAATTTGAATGGAGAATGGTAACAGGACAAATGGATAATGGGCTGAGAGAGACAAAGTTATCTCAAACTTAGCAAATGCTACAGAACTGGAGAATAAAAGCTTCAATCTGTGAAAGACAAGATTCGCAATTTAAAAAACACAGAATAAAAGTAAACCGAAACAAATACATTTCTCTTTTATATTAGCATAAAACACAGTGGTAAAAAATATTTTAATAAGTTTTTGACTAATTACGTACTCAGTATTATTTATATCAATGTTCATGAGGTTATAATTTGGTCCCCATCTCTTTAAAAATTCTATCTCCTCTCCAAGAAGTCTGCAATGATTCACTACCAATGAGATTTCTTGAAGCATCTGGAAAAAATAGATGAAGACAAAGAAGATAAAATCGACAAAATAATAATAATTTATAAATTATCAAGGGTTCATGGGTGGGGGGAGAGGGAAGGGAGCTGATACCAAGGCCTCAAGTAGAGAGCAAATATTTTGAGAATGAGGCAAACAAATGTACAAAAGTGCAACACAATAGATGTATGTATGGATTGTGATAGGAGTTGTACAAGTCCCCAATACAATGATTAAAAAAAAAGATAAAATCATAAAAGCATTTCAGTATTTAGTGATTATTAAAATCTAAAGAACCTAAAGAAAGCTAAACAATTGAACACATCATTTCAGTGCACATTGTTGCATCCATGAAATTTTTTTTTTTTTGCATCCATAAAATTTAAGTTCTGCTTTTTGAAATAGAGAACATGCATTTTCCTTTACATGCTTCAATCAGACTTTACCTGGGAAACCTGGTGCTGTGCTGTGCATTTCTTCTTCCAGGAGTCCTGTTCTTCAATATACTGGAAAATAAGCTTATGAACTAACAGGGAGGAAGGAGGGGCTTTATCTTCTGGGAAAGGAAAAATAAAAAGGAGGGTATTATTTATTACTCATGTTTTATATAAACCAGAAATACTACGGTTACATAAAATGGGTATTTGCATATAATCTAAAAGCATTCTCCTATATTTAAATAAATCACCTCTAGATTACTTATATTACTTAATACAGTGTAACTACCATATAAATAACACTTCACATTGCCTCATGGATTTTGAGTGCCATGACCACTTAATTGCTTCTATTTCCCGCCTGGATTTTCAATCCATAGTTGGTTGTATCAGTGGAAGTAGAATCCAAGGAAACAGAAGGCTGACTGTATTCTCTTCTTTTTTATTTTCAAACACATACATGATGTTTCTTATTTCCAACATATACTGTAAGCTTAAGATATTTCTACAAAAATGAAAATTTTTATCACATACAGAATAAAACTTAGCTTAATACTATAGGCTTTAAATGTAGCAAAAATGTAAGTTCTAACTCTGACTTCTCTTACTAGCTTAGTGATCGTAAGTATAACACTTAATTTTTATGCTGTGATTTAATTTGTAAAATGAAGAATAATACTTATCCTTATAGTGTTGACAGAATTAATACATGTGCCTGTTACAGAGTAAATATTCATATTAACAATTTTTAAAATTTAGTTTTAAAAATCATTTTCTTGGGGGTCCTTACAGTCCTTATAACATTCCATACATCAATTTTATCAAGTATATTTGTACATATGTTGTCATCATCATTTCCAAAACATTTTCTACTTGAATTCTTGGTATAAGGCTTCTCTTTTTCTCCCTCCCTCCCTCGCCTATTTTCCCACTCTGGAGAATCTTGATCAATTATATATTGTTATTATTATTTCATATCTTACACTGTCCGTTGTCTCCCTTCACCCACATTTCTGTTATTCATCCCTTTTGAGGTGGAGGGAGGGAGGCTATATATCCAGGTAACTTTTAAATTATAGAAACAACTATAATCATTACTCAAGGCAAGTAATAGTTTTTTTTAACTTACCATTTTTTAACTCTACATACTCCTATTTGCACCATTGGTCATGTAGTTTTATGTTTAACATATATTTCTAAAGACAAAGTATTCCGATTACATCGAATTTACCATGTGAAAGATTTCTCAAGAATCAATTTCCACTTGTAAATTACTAAATTACCAACAGATTTTTAGAGATTCAAACTTACCATCCAAAATCGATTGAAAATTGAGGTCAGTAATCTTCCTACAGTCCTTGGCCAGGAAAGGAAGACCAACTAGGGAGATGCAGAACAAGATAAGTGTTCTTTTAACTCTCCGAATGTAAGCCACATAAAATCAGTGCTTTAGAATCCTACCGCTTCTGAGGTGCAGGAATTTTTCAGAGGTAGTTGAAAGTTACTCCTTGAATCTTTGAAGTATACTATTCTCTACATGTGGTAACAGTTCCCTTGAGACTACTCAACTACATTGATTGGCAAACCTTTGAAGGAACTTTAAGGTATAGTACACAGCTATGTTTGTCAAGGCCTCCTCTGACCCTAACTGTGCAAAGATAATTTATTTTCAAGAACCCTAATGAAGAGTGTGGCTCCAGGCTATGTGCGATTTTTTTTCAGTCTCCCCATAAGTAATTAAAAATGTCCTTCTGGCAGTCCTCAGGAGGAAAACTGCCGTCCTCAACTACAGGTCGTGAAGTCTCTGAATGCAGCTCAGACCCTCCACTCCCACTAGCTGTGCTTTTTTGAATACCTGCATTCCTAGCCTAGGCACTTCCAAAGCACGCCTCCTGAAACCTCATGGAAGGGGCTAGGAAGGACACTTGCAAACATTTTTCTTTTATTTTAGGGGATAGCGCGAATGCAGTCCCCCACTACCTACCACAAATTATGCAATCAAGTTTCCCACATTTAGGGAAATGGCAGGGGTCAGCACATCTGGAGTGCAATGGGTGAGCCTCATCCTGGGAAAACCACCTTCGTGATCATGGTATCTCCCCTGCCAGGTAAGTATAGCAAACATTTTTCTCCAATTGGACTCAATGCTCAATTATTTTTCACCCCTAGCCTTTCCCTTGACCTCCCCTCTGCCCTTAGGTCTACACGTCTTAGGCTTGTGGCTCTCAACAGTGACAAAGTTCCCACATCTACAGTGATCAACTGGACCCTCATTGGGCACTATTCCTGGAAAATATTGAACAAGGGGGAGTCAGTGCCCTTTCTGGGGTGCTCTTGCTTATACTACAGCTGTAAGTGAAAGGCCTGATGGCTACTTTCATTGTGGATGGTTGTCTAATTGACTATTCTGGCACCTGACAACTCAGTTCAGCTCTCCACAGTTCAGCTTGTCTAAGGGAAATATAGGTAGTTATGAACCTCCCAAGAGGTCTGGTGGTGTAGTGGGTTACATATTTAACTCCTAACCACAAGGTCAGCAGTTCAAGACTATCTGCTGCCCTGTAAGAGAAATATGAGGCTGTCTACTTCTGTAAAGATTTAAAATCTCTGAAACTCAAAGGAGCAGTTGTCCTTTATACTATAGGGTCACGATGAGTTGGAATAGACTCAAATGGCAGTGAGTTTTTGAGATGAGCCCCACCCCCACTATCCTTATACAAATGTACAGGTGACTTATCTTTTAGCATTACAGTAATGACTTTTAGGTAGCCAGAATAGCTGCTTGCTCCTCCAGACTTGACTTAACTCCTTTCTCTCAAGTTCTGATTCTTCCCTACTCCCCATTTACTGTGATAAGTGGTGTTTTAAAAACTTCCAAATGCAATGAGAACATGTAACAGAAAAAATAAGTGGTAGAGAGAGAGGTGAATACAGGGCTTTAAACTGTTTCATGTATTTGACCTCTGCTGAGAATTTGCCTTTCCACCTCAAATATACTAAATCAGCATTTACATTTTAACAAGCTCTATGTATGCATAAAATCACCAGGGGATCTGTAAGAATCACCTGGGATTCCCTTGAAATATATTCTGTTTCAGTATATTTGGGGTGGAAAAGCAAATTTTCAGCAAAGATGGAACCAGAATGAACTAGAAAGACTTTCTTGAGAAAGTGATACTTAAGTTGAACTTTAAGGGGTTATTAGTAAGAATTTATTTTGTTAAGGGGGAGAAAAACTTCTGGCATCAAAAGCCCAAGTATGAAGGTCCTGAGAGTAGATGAAATACAATTGAGCATGAAAGGCCAGGATCGGGGAGGGAGGGGAAAAAATTAGGACCTAATGTCGGGGGCTTAAGTGGAGAGGAAATGTTTTGAGAATGACGAGAGCAATGAATGTACAAATGTGCTTTACACAATTGATGTATGTATGGATTGTGATGAGTTGTATGAGCCCCTAATAAAATGATTGAAAAAAAAAAAAAGGCCAGGATTGCTCAATTAAATTGAAATAATGCAATAAATTCTATAGTTTTACACGCTATGCAATTTTTTTTGCTATGTAAATATTTGGTCATTAGCCTCAGAGTAGTGTAGTATAAGGTAGATTTTCAGTGATCATTCTAGCTACAGGGTGGAGAAAGGAATTAGAGGAAAAGAAGATCCAAAAATACCAGTTAACCTGCAGCCATCCAGGTTGGAGATGACTATTGTATGCAGAAAATATGAAGCAAAGTATATGAATATTAAGAAGTTAAAATAAATAAGTCTTTGACAATTTAAATATGCACAGTGAAGGAAGAAGTGATTCCTAGGTTTTAATTTTGAATTTTGATGGAATTTATTTCTTCATCGAGACATGGAACAATTAAGGAGAATCTGAGTTGGAACCTGGGAGGCTGTAAAGATTGTAAATTCTAATGTGGCTGAGTTTCGTGAAGTTGCCAGTAACTGGTGTAAGGGAGACATACCTACAGATACTAACAGGCCGCCCTAGTAAAACATTTGGGACTCTTCCAACAGCAATACAGTGATGCCTGCCAATTATTTTGCTAAGTCTACCTTATACATAGAATATCCATGAACATCTTAGGATCTCATTCTTAAATATGAAAAAATAGTAAAGATATCACTGGATATTAGAATAAACTCCCCTCACAAAAACAAAAAGAACCCCAACAGAAATGAAAAACAGAAGTCAGAGGTTAATAGATGTGAATAGCATATTTATACATTATTTCAACAGGCACAATTTATGTCATCTAATGCAATTCAGTGAACTAATTAAAAAACTATTATCAGTAAAGTGATCAAATCTTTTAAGAGTTTCAGCAGTGCTTTCATTATGTTAGTAATTATATTAAAATATTTAAAAGTGTGGGCCCCAAAATGAAGAAAATGTTTTAAAATTTATTGTGGTTCTGATTGCACAACTCTTTTTAATATATTTAAACCACTTAATTTTATGGAAGGTAAATTATATGTCAATAAAATGGTTTTAAACAATGAAAAAGAATTTTCTAGTTTTAATGAGTTTAGCTACTTTTTTTCAAGTTTTATTGGCATATATTTCACATATCATACAATTCAATAGGTCATTCACATCAACACGAGTTGTACAATCACCACAATCAGTTTTAGAACAGTTTGTTCATTCATGCACTCATTGTTATTAGCTCCCCATTTCCCCTCAACTTCCCCTGCCATATACTCAAGGGACCATCAATCCAATTACTGTCTCTAAATTTACCTATCCTGGATTTCACATATAGAAAAACATTTTAAAAACTAAAACTAACAAAGAATGACAAAGTAACACAGGTTAAAAACCTCAATAGAAAAGAAAGCATAAATACCAACTGGAACAAATTCAAATGTATTATAAGGGAGATCAAATGAAAGGATGCTAAATTTTAATCTGCCCGTCACTGCAACAAACTACTTTCTAAGGCATTCTGCATGTTAGCAAGGCTATTCACAACCTTGGTCCATGGTCAGAGATGATTCACCAGGGGCTTAATCCATGTGTATTTCCTCTTCACTTTTTTTTTTTTTAACTGAAACACCTTTAAAACGGGTCAAAATGGTAGCTGGGAAGTTTTTTTGCAGAGGAATTGTCTGTTGTTACTTACCTATGGCCTCTCCAAAGGTGATAGTGAGCTCTATTGTGTCATAAAGAAAGGTGAATACAGCTTGGTCATCACTCCACTCAATGATATCCCATTCAGACAAGCTGAAGAGAGAGAAACGTTACTTCCTTGAGTTATTAATCTATCAAGGGGCCGCGAAGGTGGGAGAGGGGAGGGAGTGGGGAAAAAAAGAGGAGCTGATCCCAAGGGCTCAACAGAAAGCAAACGTCTACAAAAGAACGATGGCAATATATGTACTAACATGTCAGATACAATCGATGTATGGATTGTAACAAGAGTTGTAAGAGGCCCCAATAAAATTATCTCAAAACAAAGAAAAACCAAAGGGAATCTTAAACTGCACTGTCACCTTTTGATATTTGGAATGTTGGCATTGGTATTTTGAAGCAAATACTGGTATGTCAAAGGGTAAAAACAGGTAATGAAAACCAACAACAACAACAACAACAACAAAACAGGTAATGATACCAGTATCATAAAAATAAAAACTTTACCCAAAAAAACCAAAACTCAAACAGCACCAGCAATGGCTAGTCAGGGTTTTCCACTGGATTAGTATTTCATATATATGTATATATATATATAAAACGTCAAATATTGTAGAAAATTTAAATCTATTTAAAGATAGTAAGAATCAATTCAATCTAAGTTGTGAATCTTTGAGAAGGCATCCTTGCTTCTAGGAATATTTTGGTTATACTTCCAAGGCAGAGCTGTCCATTCTTCTGGCAGTTCATGATATATTCAATATCCTTTGCCAACTCTACAATTTGGTTTTCCTTACTTGTTGTCCAGCTTTTGCATACATTAATGAGAGATTGAAAACATTATGGATATTTCAGGTAATCTGGATCCTTAAAGTGGCACCTTTGCTTTCTCTCACTTTTAAAGAGGTCTTTTGCAGAAAGTTTGCCCAGTTTGATTTCTTCATCACTGCTCCATGGGCATTGATTGTGAATCACAGTCAAATAAAATCCTTGACAACTTCAATTTTTTTTTATATATCATGATGTTGCCTCTTGGTTCAGTTGTGAAGGTTTTTATTTTTTTCGTGTTGAGGTCTACCCCATAGGGAAGCTATAGTTTTTTAATCTTCATCATTAAGTGTTTCACGTCCTCTTTTTAGCAAGCAAGGCTGTCATCTTGTCATCTATATCGAACCCCACTGCCATCAAGCTGGCTCCCAGTAACTCCGTGGAGGGTAGAACTGCTCCGTAGGCTCTTGGGGACTGTCAATCTTCGCAGGAGCAGATAGCTTTGTCTTCCTCTCATGGAGCAGCTGGTGGGTTTGAACCACTGACACTACAGTTAGCAGCCCACTGCTTAATGCACTTTGCCACTAGAGCTCCATATGATGTTAACAATGATATCCCACTTTCTGAGTCCTCTTCTGAATTCAGCTAGAATTTCTGGTCATTATTGATGTACTGCTTTAACTGTTCTTAAATTTTCTTTAGCAATCTTCAAGAGAAAGAGGAGTCTTTCTACAATCCTGTGAAGAGTTAACAGTCTCAGAAACCAACAGGGGCAGTTCTACTATGCTCTATAGGGCCACTTTGTGTTGGAATCAAATCAATGGCAGTGAGTTTGGTTTGGTTTTAACAATTTTACATGTGATACTGATATTATCTGGTAATTTCTATATTCTACTGACTGCCTTTCTTAGAAATGGGTAGTTAGTTGGACAGGTACCTGTCTTCCAAAATTCTTGGCACAGATGAGTGAACACTTCCAGCACTGCATCAATTTTTAATTGACATCTCAATTATTGTCAATTCCTGGAGCCTTTTCACCAGTGCCTTCAGTGCGGCTTAGGCTTCTTCCTTCAAGAACATCGACTCTTCATTATATTCTACCTCCTTAAATGGTTGAACATCAACAAATTCTTTTTGGCACAGTGGCAGTCAATATTGTGCCCATAAATCCTTCAATAATGCAACTTGAAACTTGAATTTTTTTTCTTTAGTTTGGTTAACTGGAAAACTACCGAGCTTGTTCTCCTCCTGGCATTCTGACCCCAGGTCTTTCCATGTCATCGTAATACTTTATCTTCTTGTGTCACTTTGTGCTTAGCGCTCTTACTTCATTATCATAGCCATTTATTTGCCTTAGCTGCTTGTGTTAGGCTGGGTTGACTAGGGAAACCAATTCAGAGACATTCATATGTAAGACAGAGTTTTATATCAAAGAGCAATTGTATATTGAGAAAACATCTCAGTCCAGTCCAGATCAAGTCCATAATTCCGATATTAGCCCATATGTCTGAAATTAGTCCATAAATTCCTCTTTAGGCTCATGTAGCACATGCAATGACGTCAAATTCAGGGAGATCATACTCCAGTGGTGGAAAGTTTTATGGATCCAGTGGCAGTGGAAACATCTCAACACTGGCACACAAGGAGAAAGAGAAGTTCCCAGAACTCTCATGAGAAGGCCACACCATCAGGAGGCATCATCAGGCTGACTTGATTGACAGGCTAAACTCCACCCCTTTACTTTAGTTATCAAGTTGACATGAAATTATGTAAATACCACACTACTCTACATTCAAAAGCAAGTTTCAGGACTCTCTTTTGACATCCATTTTAGTCTTTTCTTTTTCAAATAATTTTATTAGGAGCTCTTACAGATATATTCTATAGTTTAATCACATCAAGTAGTATATTGTACAATTGCTACCATAATCAGTTTTAAAACATTTTTTCTTCTTGAACTTCTTGATATCAGCTCCCCTTTATCCCTAACCCCGCCCTAAACCCTAGTTTATTTCCATATCTTACACTATCCAATGTATCCATTCACATACAATTCTGTTGCTCACTCCCCTAGAGTGGGGTTATACAGTCATCAGCTCCCCCCCACCTCCAACCCCCTTTCTTCCTTGACCCTCAAGGATGTAATTCTGTTTGGGGTTGGAAGGGGATACAAAGGGGGGCAGTTTGACCACCTTGCTGGTCAAAGCATCGGCTGAGGATGTCCTGGGAATCTGACTTAGCATGGTATCCACATCCAAGAGAAGACAAGAGCTCTGCTCCAGATCCTGCTCCAGATACTTTTTTAAAGTTATTTTTTGCTTTCTTCATGTATGATATTCTTGATGCCATCCCGTAACTCACCTACTCTTCAGTCATTAGTGTACAATGAGTCAAATCTATTCTTGAGATAGTCTCTAAATTCAGGTGGAAAACACTCAAGGCTGTACTTTGACTCTCTTGGACTTGTTTTAATTTTTCAGTTTCATCTCAACTTGCATATAAGCAACTGATGGTCTGTTCCATAGTCTGCCCCTAAGCTTGTTGTGACGGATAATATTGAGCATCTACATGCTCTCTTCTCACACATATAGTTGAAGTGATTTCTGTGAACTACACTGTTCACATGGTTGAAAAATATATTTCCAATGATTACGTTGTGGGTCTTGTAAAATTCTATCATGTGATTTCTAGCATTGCTTTTATCACCCAAGGCCATATTTTCCACCAGTAATATACTTACCAGTAATTATTGATGCAGTTCCAAATGGCAGAAGCTGTTAAAATAGATTCTATTGCTTCATCTGCTATTAGTGTTGGTGTATATATTTAAATTTATACTAGTGTTCCTTGGAGGCATATGGATATTGTCTTAACCTTAACAGCAATATACTTCAGTATGCATTCTGAAAGATGCTTTGGTGATGCAAATGTAGGGTTGCTGACTGCAGAGTTGCTGATTTGAATCCACCAACCACGCCTGGGAGACAGCATGAGGCAGTCTGCTTTGGTGAAAGTCATAGCCTTGGAAATTCTATAGAAGAGGCCTACTCTATCCTGTAGGGTTACTGAGTCAGAACTGACTTGGCAGCAGTGGGCCTGGCTTCTTTGATACCTAATATATTCATCATCAAACAATCCATTTCATTTGGACAACTTAACAATTTTCCTAGATTCATATTTCATATTCCATGTTCCATTCATTAATGCACGTTACTTCTCATTTTGAGTTCTGCCCCATCTGCAAACAAAGGTCCTAAGTACTTTGCTTCATCCACATCATTAAGGTCACTTCTACTTTGAGGAGACAGCACTTCTCCACTTGTGTTTTCCAAGCTGAGGGCTCCTCATCTGGCAGTATGTCAGACAATATTCTGGTGCTGTTCATGAGGTAGGGTTTTTACTAGCCTTTTTTTTTAAGATTGGCAGACTCTTTCTCCTAATCTGTTTGGGAACTCCAGTAAAGCCTATCCACCATGTGCGACTCTGTGGGTACCAGTGGCATAGTTTCCACCATCATAGTAGCATGTAAGCTACCACAGTACAATGAACCGAAAGGAGAGTGGACAAAAAGGATGACACACTTATGTTGTGACAATTAAGATGTTTATATCAACTGCTCTTGTAAATTCAGTCATCCTACTCAAGAAGAGGATAAAACACAAATTCATGACACCTGCTATTCCTTACCTCAATTGATCCAATAGCTCTTCAGTTTTGTTTGTTTGTTTTTTCACAAAGTCTATTTGAGCAAGCATCTGCTGCTTCTGTACCTGCAGTTCTAAAATATTCCTGCAAATAAAACCAGATATCCACAGAAAGATAATCTTTTGTTGTTGTTGGAAAATTCAGACTCTATCAATATAAATGGTCTGTGACAAGATATCACATGCTAGTTAGCTCTCTAGTGCTAAAATAATGCAAGCGAAAGGGACCCATTTCAGAATTCTTTTGTTTGTTTGTTAGTTAATGATCTAGAAGTATGAGTCTTTTTATGGAACACATAGAGGGTGCCTGGTAGCACAGTGGTTAAAGTCAGTGGTTTGAACCCTCCAGCCACCCCTGGGAAGGCAGAGGTAGCAGTCTGCTTTTGTAAAGTCTCATGGCCTTGGAAAAGAAACACCATGCGGCAGTTTCACTCTGTCTTGCAGTGTTGCTACGATTCAGAATTGATTTAATGGTAGTGAGTTTTTTGTAATCATATGGATGCCAACCTTAAAACCAAGACAAGCTATAATTTCAGTGTCTGCATTTAATTTTTTTGTTTGTTAGTGCTAAATAGAACCTATATATTGGGAGTCATTTTAGTACTAATTTCAGCCAAATATCAACTGTGAAATCAATGCTGTCACTTGTGATTGTATTGAATTTGCTATTATCTATATTTAAAAGTTTATTATTGTTTTACTTTCTTTAAAATTATCTGGATATTCAAGCTTAAGAGACACTAGGCTTTCGTTAGATTAATTCTCCATAAATGATAAATGTTCAGAAAATATTGTTGGCTAAGTTGGCCTCCAGAGCCCGGTTCAAAATGGAGAAGCCCTGAGCTAGTCTTAATCAAGACTCATGTCCCTGCTGGAGGTGGGATGTCATTTGCCTGGTGGAATTTAGCACTACATCTTCTAACACTCAGAAGACTGACCTTTGAAGTTCTTCTTCGTGGGTTTTTAGCTGTTTCAATTCTTTGAAAAGAAAATCATAAAAATATTAGAATAAAGTCACAAAAACTTTTATTGAAAATTCTGACTTAATTTCATGTAAAACACACACATAGAGCAGATTTATCTTATCTCATTAACCAATTCAGTTACCTTTCTCTGCAGCTCTCATTTTAGAATCCCATTCTTTCAGAGCATTGTCTTTCTCTTCATCCTCCAAATACTTTGTTTCTAAAAGTAGACAACATACATTAGAATAACTCAGTAAAATAATGTATTAACAACCAGAAATAAAAAGAACAGATAGTGCCAAAATGAACTATCACATATATTTCACAACCAAGCACCTTACTTGCCAACTGTCACATATATTTCACAAACAAGCACCTTACTTGCCAATTATATTAATTTATAATTACAATACTATACAGAGACTAATTTTTTGTGCCAGATGGTGATCTTTGAGCCATAATGTAATGATCTAAATGAACATGTTCTCAGGGGACATTTTAAGATGGAAGCTGTTTGCATATAATTAAGCAACCTCCATGGGCTAATAAGTAGATGCAGATTTACACATATAAACACATGCACATGGATGGACCTGGACTACTTTATGCTTAGTGAAATAAACCAATTAATTATAAAAAGGCAAATATTATATGAGACTACTGTTTTGGGGGGGGAAAAAGTTAGAGACGTTTATTTTAAAGAGAACAGACTTTGGAGTTTTCCAAGGGGGCAGATAAAAGAAGGAAGATAAAGCAATAGGCCAGACTGAAGGGTGTTAACTTGGGTAAAATGAAAGACAGTAGTTTACAAGAGGGTCAAGAGGAAGTTGGGAGCAGGTGAGGGATAAACTATTAGAAGGTTTGATAACTGGTTTAAGCTGTTGAATACAAAGTTGATGATATGAAATTTAATCACCCACCTAAAATTTAAAAAACAAACAAAACAAATACATGCACATATGCATTTAAATTTTAATGTCTTTGAAATATAGGAGTCATTCTTAAAACTATATTCTCTCAATATCCAAACCTTCAATAAGTTTAGATTTTACCTCAAAAATATCTTTTGATTCTACTTCATATTAACTTACTACCACAAACAAACCCTCTGCCATTGAGTTTATTTTAATGCATTGCCATGCTATACGACAGCTTTTTACATTATATGCAAACAGTTTCTGAGGCAGCAAATCTTCATAGGAGCAGACAGCCACATCTTTCTCTCTTGGAGCAACTGATGGGTTCGAACCAACAAAGTTGAAGTTAGCAGAGTGGTTAGAAGCTTTTAAAGTGTAACCCTCTACACCACAAGAGCTCCTTGCTTTTCTATAGTACTTAACATAAAATAGAGCCCTGGGGGGTGTAGTGGTTACATGTTGGAATGTTATCTGTAAGGTCAGCAGTTCAAAACCACCAGCAGCTCTGAGGGAGAAAGATGAGGCTTTCTACTCCCATTAAGAGTTACACTATCGTGCTCACTTCGGCAGCACATACACTAAAATTGGAACGATACAGAGAAGATTAGCATGGCCCCTGCGCAAGGATGACACGCAAATTCGTGAAGCGTTCCATATTTAAAAAAAAAAAGAGTTACAATATCAGAAACTCGGGATCAGTTCTACTCTGTCCTAAAGGGTGACTATGAGTTCCAAGGGACTTTATGGCAATGAGGGTATTTTTTAACGTAAAATTATTTGTTCATTTCCTATATTCTCTTGTAGATTGGATGCTCTACTAGAGAATTACTGTTTTGTATATTCTTAAAAACAACCACTGAACATGGCATATAGTAGGTATTCAGTAAATTTGCTCAATAGTGAAGGGATTCATTCAATGGTAGCTAAGAGGGATGTGTGGTTGTTGGTATTTTTAAAGAGGGAGTAGAAGTAACATATTCTGTGGAGGTGGATAGGTAGTATATATGAAAGAAAAGGGAAAACCAGTAATCTAAGCTTTCCAAGAAGACAAGAGAAATTCAAAGTTTAGGTTGAAAGACTGGTCTTAGGGAAAACAAAGGAAGAGAAAAATTATAAATGTAGATATCCGAAAGGTTAGTTAGTTGATTTGGTAGTTGGAATTTTAAGAAGTTTCGATCTTTAAAAAAAATCATTTATTGGGGACTCTTACATCTCTTATCACAATCCATACATCCATCCATTGTGTCAAGCACATTTGTACATATGTTGCCATCATCATTTCCAAAACATTTTCTTTCTACTTGAGTCCTCGGTCTCAGCTCATTTTTCCCCCTCCCACCCTCCCTCATGAGCCCTTGATAATTTATAAATTATTTTTTTCATGTCTTACACCAACTGCTGTCTTCCTTCACCCACTTTTGTTGTTGTCCCCCTAAGAGGGAGGGGGACTATATGTCAATCATTGTGATCAGTTCCCCAGAAGTTCTGATTTTATGACTTCTGTTTTTTTCCTCTGTGAAGTAGAAAGGGGTAGGACAGTCTATGATGATGAAATAGGTGTACTAGCCACCTATTCAGAACAAAGCATGGATTTGAAGGATAGGGAGAAAAATGAGAGTTGACCTTTGCTCCCATTAAGCTTATAATACAAGTGGGTGTGGTAAGTTTGGTACCAAAAACAAAGCCCAATACATTCAAGTTGATTCAAACTCATAGTGACCTCACTATAGGACAAGTAGACATACCCTATGGAGTTTCCAAGGCTGTCAAATCTTTTTTTGTCTATTTGGTCAGTAAATCAAACATGGAGTAATGTTATTAGCTAGGAATTCTGGTCAAATTAGGAGCCCAAGTTGAGCCTCCATGTTTTTTTGTTGTTACCATCTACATAGTCAGGAGCGGTGGTAGGCTCCAAGACAGGGCGTCAGACACCGGCTGAGGCTCCCCATTTGGCCTTGAATTGTGGATTACTGCCTGACTTGTGTCTGTGGAGGACTGTCATATGCCTGGCTTTAAACTGGACTTTGTAGTAATTGAGCTTTTAAAAATCTTTTTATGAACAACAAAAATGTGGATGAAGGGGAGAGTTCCAGGAAGATGGCAACTAATTAACACATACCAGAGGGATTCCGCAGAAATCAGCCCAGGAGAATTACTAAGAGGGAAATTCAACACTGCTGGATCGCAGGAGGAGCATCATAAAGATAAGTAGGCACAGA